TATATAATGATACTTGTTTTTTCAATTTCTATATGGTCAATAAAGAGAGATGAAAATTTGATTTTTTTTCTAATTGAGTTTATTGGTACATTTTAGGTATACAGTACAGTTACATTCATCACTGGGATCTTGTACCTTTACCTGACAGATCTTGGTTATCATTTTTCCCCTTACCCCTGCCCTCCCTTCATCCCCTCCACCCTTCCCTATTTACAAAGACTTTATTTCCATTTTTTTCGTTTTCTCATATTTTTTCTTGTCCCTTATTTCTTTTCCCCTCCTCTTCCCACTTCCCCTACACCTTTAGCCCTTTTCTTCCTATTTCACACTGTCAATCATATAATTTGGATCTTATTTACACTTTTAGTTTTTCACACCACAGAAACTATTCGGTATTTACACTTGGGTGTCATATTTATTTCAAAATTTGAATTTTTACACTCAATCCTGAAAGCCTTTTTTTTCCTGCTAAAATTTTGAAGGTGAGTGCAACATTAGAGTTAAATTTTTATTACAAAAATTTTAGTGTATACAGAAACTGTAAGGATTAGGTTTATGTTAGCTACTTTTTTAAAGATTAAAAACCAAAGTATTTTGCCACTTTGTGACATACGAAATAGTAATTTTATGAGAAATATTTTTGCTTATGGAAACTAACTTATTTTATAAACATAGTGTTTTATCTGCCAATGCAGATAGGATCTGCTCAAAGAAGGAAGTAACACTTTAGACTCCACTTAGAAAATTAAAAGCAAAACAGGCTTAAAAACCAATCCATGTCAAAAGAAATGAAGGAAAGAAACTGACAGCAGCCCAAGAGCTTGACTTGGTTCTTTTGAATACTTTGAATGAATTACCATGGGCTCCCTTTTCTTTTTCCTTTACCCACAGGTTCCCATCAAACCAGTAAAAATAATGAAACCAAGTCTGGTATATTTAATGTTCTTGTTAAGTTGGTCACATAGGTAAATATATACAACAAGAAACCAGAAAATGGTTTTCTTTTGCATTTGAAAATAATTTTGAATCATCTTCAAATAAAACTTGGTGGGAGGCTTCCCTCTTGTTACCTAATCCTACAAATGCCCTTCAACCACCCTAAGTGAGGTTGTTTTTAAACTTCTCTGAATTCATTTCCTGCAACAGACATGCTGCCTTTGGCAAAAATAGCATGTAATTGAAAATAATTTGAGTATTTCTCATATGGTATGCACGACCTGTGATTCTCAACTAATGAACCAGATGTTTTAATACTCCTCATAACAAGATTTCCATGAATCAGTAGCTATTTTTAATGGCCCATTTGTGGGTGAAGTAGTGAATTATAGAATCTCTTTGGAGTGAGGGAAGAAATCACTTGGAAAGAGTCATCTTTCATTAAAAAGTGATCATAAAAGTGAATCATCCTCATTTATTCATCCTTCCGTTTGCCTCTTACCTTTATAAAGCATTGTTCGGAAGTCTTTACCTTCCCAGTAACTTATATTTACTCTTGTGAAAACATTATATTTTTCCGGATAATGAATTTCAAACAGGACTCCTGTTTCAGGAGAAGGTTTGTAGTCATATATTGAAACACTGGTTACAGGTAGAGGTTCTAGAGAAGGGGAAAGTGCAGAAATGGGGAAAAGGAGAAGAGAGAGAAGGGTCATCACCAGTTCTTGGAAGTACCAAGCATTTTACTACAGAAACTTTATTCATGTACATTTGTATTTATATATTTTGTACCAGGGATTGAACTCATGACCTTGTGCTTGTGAGGCAGGTGCAGCGCCACAGCTCACTTTATTCATATTTTCATGTTCCTTGAGTATAGATTTGTCAGCTCTCATGATGTGATTGGTCTCCTTAGCAATAATTAATAAAATACATTTGATATGGTGTGTTCTGCTTTTCTAAGAACTTTCATATTCATTTTTCCACTAGCACCAACCCTGAGATGTAGGAAGAGCAAACATTAAATCCCCGTCAAGGGAGACCCAGTGTAAACTCAGAGACTTTAAATTACTTGATGGGAGCAATTGAACAGGTTTGTGGTAGAGTCTACAGCCCTGGGTCCCTAGTTCATTTTTCTTTTCCTCTTACCAAGAAAAATGTGTTATTATAACAAACAAGTAACAGCATATGCTTTGGCTCTGACCAATGATAAGTGTCGACATGATCCTTTATTCCTTCATACAAACTTAGCATCTGTTTCCTATGTTATGTGTAAAATTACAAATCATTCAGGGCTGTGAAAATGACAGTCTGTATGGTTATCCAACCACTCCTTCCACAGAAGCTTAGAAATATATTTCTGATTTATGTGAGTTGTTAATTTACTGTAAGACTTTAAAAATAGGCAAAAAAGGTCAATATATCTGCATCTCTTGCACACCCCACCCTTTGGCAGAATTCTTATAAAATACCCATGCTTCCCTCCCCCAGAAGGAGCTATTGAATAAATTTTACCTATATTAATTTTTTGAAGAAAATACTTCAAATGACTTAAGTTGGAATCAAATATTGCATTATTCAAAACATAATTTTGATTCCAAGTTTTCAAATGGAGAATATTTTTGGACTTGAACTAAAGCAAAATCTTTAAATATTACCTTTTAAAATTTCAGTTGTACTAACCTGAGAAAGCAAAATTTGACTTAATCCACCGAACAAGTAATTATTGGCAACCTAACTTGTCTCAATCTGTAACTGAACATATTTCACTTTCTTTTTCAACATCCTAACCAAGCTTTGCTTTTGACTGAAGAGAATGGATGAGGGGCGAGTGAAGTCACATGTTAAAGCTTTGATTTTTTTTCCTGGAATTGTTTTTTTATGGTTTGCATATGTGTTATTTGAATTTTTTTCAGCTTTAATTGAGTTTATTGGTACATTTTAGGGATACAGTACAGTTACATTCATTGTTGGGATCTTGTACCTCTACATGACAAGTCTTGGTTCTCATTTTTTCCCCTTTTCCCTGCCCTCCCTTCACCCCCTCCTCCCCTCCCGATCTATAAACACTTTATTTCCATCTTTTCATTATCTCACATTTTTTCTTTTCCCTTATTACCCTTCCCCTACCCATCCCACCTTCCCTACACCATAAAACCAAGCTGGTGTGCATGTGAAGGTTAAGGGGGCCTTCTGATGGCAGTGCCTTATGTGATGGTGTCTCAGCAGACTGGTCTTCCAGCATAATATCCCCATTTCAGAGTGAACTCATTTACTTGCAATGTAAACAACCAATCCACTCTGAAGACACTGAGGTTTGAGCTCAAATCTCCCTCCGATTTTTAAATTTTAAGTAGGGGGTGGGGGAGGGGGAGGAATCAGACTCCGGGCCTTGCACTTGAGAGGCAGGAGGCAGCACCACTGAGCTTAATCTCCGGCCCATAAAGTCATTAAATCCTTTGAACCAAGTACTGTATACTTAGAGCTATCCCTTGTTGCACTTTTTGTTTGTTTGTTTATTTGTTTGTTTGTATCTCGGATCAAACTCAGGACCTTGTGCTTGCAAGGTAGGCGGCAGAACCGCTGAGCTAAAACCCTGGCCCTGGTCGGTTGGTTTTTGAAGACAGGGTCTCTCTATGAAGTTCAGGCTGGCCTTGAACCCACTATCCAAAGTTTTGAATGATTCCTAGATTTTTTTTTCCAAAGCAGTCTAATAACAAATCCAGGCACACTACAAAATCCAGCTACTGACTCTGGATGTGGGAGAAGGAGAAAGAAAGCCAACAGCAAAGCAGCTACCTTTACCGCTGCAGTCCTGTTTCACACCCTAGGAAATACCAGGGTTCCCTAGACTAGAAAGAGAAATTAGAAGACAGGTCAATTTGTCCCGAGGCCTGAAACCTGGACATCAAAGCCACAGTCAAACTTTGAAATTCAAGACATATATGAGGAATTATTTATTATTATTATTTTTTTTGCCACAAACTACTTAAACTTTAAACTAAGAGAATTTCTAAAATACCTGCTCAAGGGTTTGTTTTATCTATTTCTCTCCGTTCAGGATAGAGGACTCAGGCTAGCTGTCAGTCCTAAACTCCCTGCTGGCTTCACTGAGGCCAGATCTATCCAAGAATTACTACTTTTAGTAAGACTCAAGTGCTAAAAATAAGTCTGAAATATTCTACTCCCTCTCCAGTTACATGCCTCATTATTTCCTTTTAAGAAATTAAGAGATGTGGCATTAATTAGCACTGCTATTACCTACCTGTGTTTCAATGATGACAAGATTAAGTGCTAATCTAAATTCAATTCTATTTCCCTGCCAGCTACTCCATTGTATTTTCTGTCTTTATTCTGAGAGCCAGGCTGGGAAAGAATTGGAGGTTCTAGAAAATGTGAGTCACTTATTATCTTCATTTATTAATTGATGTCTCATATCTCAGATTTTTTCTATTTTTCAAAGAAATAAAACATGATAAAATACAGTCAAAACACCTTCACACAGCTTACTTGGACCCATTATTAATCTGACTTTAGTGTTGGTTTAACTTCTCAGGAATATTCTTAGATTTTTTTTCATATTTGTGCATATATAATATTATTTCATGGCTTGATATATTTTGTTATCAGTGTCATTTCATACATACCATGTTGGAGCTTTCTTGCATTACCTAACATTGCTATAGATTTGTCAGTCTTGATGCATCTTTGCAAACTTTTGTGTCTATTAGGCCATTGTATAAACTGTATAATTTATCTGTTCCTTGTTTGGTAGAGAGGTTGCTGTTAATCATCTATTCATACGAGTACTGGGCAATAAATACATGCGACATGTCTTAGATTAGAAATCCTGTGTGGGAGTGTGTGCAGCTCTTCAACCAAGAGAGGTAAGTTTTCTAATGGTCTGCCAGTTCACATAACAGCAGCAGTGTGACAGTCCTTGTTTCTCCATATTTTTTCTGCAGTACATGCATATATCAAACGTCCTCATTTTTGCCACCCAGAAGTGCATGAAATTTTGTCTCATTATTTTAATTTCCTGCTCATGAAGGAGGATTTGTTAAATATGCTTATTGGCCCTTCAGACTCTCTTCATTTAGAGCTATTTGCTTGTTGTTTTTCAACCTTTTCCTGCTAACTTGTGATACAATCTTCGTCACACACTGCATTCCTACTGTCTTGTCCTATGCTTTCCTTTGGGGTCACTATTGTGAGTGTGTGTGTGTGTGTGTGTGTGTGTGCTGAAATATATTTGATAGTTGGTAGTATCTGCTAAGAGATGCATGTGAGACTGCTGTTTTGCTGAATTAGAAGCTAAAGAAGCAAATGAGTAGGGACCAGCAATCATTGCTACTGTGACCAATTAAGAATATGTCTTTCCCAACACAGCTCTTAGATGCTTGGTTTTGATGGCTGGAGTAGGAAGGAAGAAGGGACCAGTTCTGCATGCAGGTCAGTGCACTCTCTCAGTGAGTGTCTTCACTATTTCTTTCCTTTAACATTTAAAAACTTTTATTGGTACCTTTTAGGTATACAGTATAATGACATTCATCAATGGAAATTTGTACCTTTACATAATGTACCTTGGTTCATATTTTTGCTCCATTCCCTTGCCCTCCCTTCAAGCCCTCCATCCCTCCTTATTTACAAAGACTTTGTTTTCATTTTCTCATGTTAATCCCTTTCCCTTCTTTCCTTTCCCCTACCCCTCCCATTTCCCCTTCCCCTTTGCCCTTTTTATTCCTATCTCATATTATCTATTATACCTTTTAGTCCTTATTTACACTTCCAGTTTCTCATACTAGAGAAACTATTTGGTATTTACACGTGTGCCCTACTTAATTTCACTGAACAGTATTGCCACAATGTGCATCCATTTAGCTATAAATGCCTTTAATTGCTCATTTTTAATGGCTGAATAGTACTCCATTTTAGAAAAAGAATCCACATCTTTATCCATTCCCCAGTTGATGGGCAATTGGGCTCTTTCCAAGTTTTAGCTATTACAAACTGTGCCACTATAAATATGGGTGAGTATATATCACTGTGGTATATCTTTCAATTCTTTTGGGAAGATACCCAGTAGGGGAATAACTGGGTCAAATAGGATCTAAGTTTTACTTTTCTCCCTCCAATCTTACCTTCATTTTTCTTATTTGTTTCTAACCAAAGCATCTAAGCATGCAGGCTACTTGACACCATTACTTTAGTCAACACCTCTGTCTTCAATTGGTCATCCTCACCCTACGGAGATTTCCCTGTTTCCTCTGTCCCTGATGCTCTGAGAAATTACCTATTTAATGCCCGTGCTACTATTTGTATTTATTCATCGTATACTACATGCTCTTCACCTTGCTAAGGAATTTATTTTACATCACAAACATATTTACATTATTTTATAGCACCCCCTACCTAGTAGAAACTACAAATTATCCCAATATGATAATTACATGACAGATCACTGCAGCAAACTACATGCCATGAAGTCTGTACCTTAACTTGATTTTGGTTGACTTTTGAGTGAAGGGTAGGCTTTGTATATTTAAGTGCTGACAAGAGTTGAAAGGAGAATAGTATTTCATAGCACAGGAACATAACATCAATTTCAAGTTTTGGTGTCTATAACGTTTCCTGAGAGCACAGCCGTGCTCGTTTGCTTTATACTATCTGTGACCGCCTGTCTTTCAGTGCAGAGCTGAGCAGTTGCAAAATAGATGTTGTGACCAGCAAGTATCACATATTCATCATCTAGGCCTTTAGAGGGAAAAAAAATCACTAGCTTTTAGAACAGGTTACATATCTGGGAACCAAGATTTAGAGAATGTTATCATCCACACTAAGCTACCTGCATGATTTTCAGATTTGTTTAACTCTAAAATTCAGGCTCTGAAGCACTGCCCCACATACACACTTGCTACCTGGTCTGTTCCTGTGCAAGACTCAGGATCTGTGGCTTCCAGCTCTCCTGTAAGAGGGAGGTTTCCCCCAGTCACATCTTACATCATTTCTTTAATCTGTCTTCACTGCTCATCAGGCTAAGGTCTGAACTCCCTCACGCGGTGTTTAAAGTTCCTCTAATATTTCTAGCTACCTTTCCCAAGATTTTCTGAAACAACACACACTTGCAGCCCGAAGTTGCACCCAGTGTGACGTGTGATGCTCAAGTCCCCATTCTTTTGCACAGATTCCCTTTCACCCCAACCTTAACCCTTGCTCTTCTTTATTCTTTTGCCAAACATTCATTAATTTTATACCAGTTGCATCTTCTGCAGTGCCTTCCCAATGATCTTAAGGAACTCGGGCACTCAAACATTTACCATATTTTGTTTTGGTGACAGATTTTTCTTTTCCATCTCTGGAATACTATTTCCATAACATTCCACCTATGATTAGAAGTATCTTCATGTATCTTTGTTTCTCTGGCCTCTAGGATATCACACAGAGAATGTACCTAGTAAATGAGGTTCGAGCTCATGATTATCTTTATTGATAATAAATTTATGAAGAACAATACATTTGTAGTAGATTTGTCTCCATGTGTGCTCTGCAGTGTTTACTTCCACTCTCCACTGACATGGAGAGAGCAATGTGTATATTACACTTGCTTTCCTAATTTCTAAGTCCTTGTTCTTGGATGCTATTTTCTCTCCAGAGAAGCCCCTCCTTCCCTCTGGAGTGCATACATTATACTGGAGCCTCTCAGTCAATTAAAAATTAATCAGATGTCAGAGCCTAAGGGTTGTGAGATTCTTTTGAACTGGCCAGATGACTCTGTTGTGCTGAATTTATTCTTTGCCATGTTTCTCAGTGCTCTGTGGAGGTCCAAGGCTCAGCACATGATAGGGAAAAATCAAAGGACAGTCCCTGGGCCAATTGCTTTGTCACCACTTATTTCATCAACGAGAGCATCTGACACAGTTGATGACTGCAGTGAATGCCTGTTTTATTCTCAAGAGCAACATATCAACTCTGTGAGTCTGATGCCACTGTTAATTTTTAGAACCCATTGTTAATCCTGGGACTCTGTCAATGGAGACTGTAACTCATTTTTTGACAGTCATGGTAAAAATACCTTTTACAGTTTGCCTCTGACTACTCACTTCTTATTTTTTTCTCCCTTTAACCCAACAGAAAATATCACAATGTCCTCTCTCTCTCTCTCTCTCTCTCTCTCTCTCTCTCTCTCTCTCTCTCTTTTTTGTCCTCGATTGAGCT